TGCTCAGTGGTTCCTTCCACCGCCACCTGTAAGTACTATGCCAGAAGGAACCATTGAGATGGGCTCTCATTTTTTTTCTGGATTGGGGTGGCATTTGGCGGTGAGGGTGGCAGGAGAGGTAAGTATACTTCACAGGTGACTCTTTTATGAGCAATTTTAGTGGCCCCTCAGAGTCACTTTAAATGTGGCCCTTCCATCCATGTGTGGCAGCCATAAAGTACTGGAAGCGTCAAGCTCCTACGGTTCATGTGGGCCTCTCATTCCTATGACTGGTCCCTGCTGCTGAATTCCTATGATTGGTCCGTGCGGCTCATTCCAATGATTGGTCCGCGCAGCTCATTCTTCTGACTGGTCCATGACGCTCATTCCTATGACTGGTCCATCATGCTCATTCCCATGACTGGTCCATGACGCTCATTCCCATGACTGGTCCGTCACGCTCATTCCTATGACTGGTCTGTCACGCCTATTCCTATGACTGGTCCGTGATGCTCATTCCTATGATTGGTCTGTGACATTTATTCCTATGACTGGTCCGTGACGCTCATTCCTCTGACTGGTCCATGACGCTCATTCCTATGACTGGTCTCTGCCGCTCATTCCTATGATTGGTCCATGCCACTCATTCTTATGACTGGTCCATGCCGCTCATTCCTATGACTGGTCCGTGACGCTCATTCCTATGACTGGTCCCTGCCACTCATTCCTATGATTGGTCCCTGCCGCTCATTCCTATGATTGGTCCCTGCCACTCATTCCTATGTATGGTCCCTGCCACTCATTCCAATGATTTGTCCCTGCCGCTCGTTCTTATGACTGGTCCATGCCGCTCATTCCTATGACTGGTCCTTGCCGCTCTTTCCTATGACTAGTCTGCGCCGCTCATTCCTATGACTGGTCCGTGCCGCTCATTCCTATGACTGGTCCGTGCCGCTCATTCCTATGGCTGGTCCGTGCCGCTCATTCCTATAACTGGTCCGTGCCGCTCATTCCTATGACTGGTTTGTGCCGCTCATTCCTAGGGCTGGTCCGTGCCGCTCATTCCTATGGTTGGTCCGTGCTGCTCATTCCTATGGCTGGTCCCTGACGTTCATTCCTATGGCTGGTCCGTGCTGCTCATTCCTATGATGGTCTGTTCCGCTCATTCCTATGACCGATCCGTTCCGCTCATTCCTATGACCGATCCGTTCCGCTCATTCCTATGACCGATCCGTCCTGCTCATTCCTATGACTGGTCCGTGCCGCTCATTCCTATGACTGGTCCGTGCCACTCATTCCTATGGCTGGTCCGTGCTGCTCATTGCTATGATGGTCCGTGCTGCTCATTCCTATGACCGATCTGTTCCGCTCATTCCTATGACCGAACCGTTCCGCTCATTCCTATGACCGATCCGTTCCGCTCATTCCTATGACCGATCCGTCCTGCTCATTCCTATGACTGGTCCGTGCCGCTCATTCCTATGACTGGTCCGTGCCGCTCATTCCTATGGCTGGTCCGTGCCGCTCATTCCTATAACTGGTCCGTGCCGCTCATTCCTATGACTGGTTTGTGCCGCTCATTCCTAGGGCTGGTCCGTGCCGCTCATTCCTATGGTTGGTCCGTGCTGCTCATTCCTATGGCTGGTCCCTGACGTTCATTCCTATGGCTGGTCCGTGCTGCTCATTCCTATGATGGTCTGTTCCGCTCATTCCTATGACCGATCCGTTCCGCTCATTCCTATGACCGATCCGTTCCGCTCATTCCTATGACCGATCCATTCCGCTCATTCCTATGACCGATCCGTCCTGCTCATTCCTATGACTGGCCCGTGCCGCTCATTCCTATGACTGGTCCCTGCCATTCATTTCTATGGCTGGTACGTGTTGCTCATTCCTATGATGGTCTGTTCCGCTCATTCCTATGATTGGTCCCTGCCGCTCATTCCTATGACCGATCCGTTCCGCTCATTCCTATGACCGATCTGTTCTTCTCATTCCTATGATTGGTCCGTGCCGCTAATTCCTATGACTGGTCCGTGCCGCTCATTCCTATGACTGGTCCGTGCCGCTCATTCCTATGACTGGTCCGTGCCGCTCATTCCTATGGCTGGTCCGTGCCGATCATTCCTATGGCTGGTCCGTGCTGCTCATTCCTTTGATGGTCTGTTCCGCTCATTCCTATGATCGGTCCCTGCCGCTCATTCCTATGACCGATCCGCTCCACTCATTCCTATGACCGATCTGTTCCGCTCATTCCTATGAACGCTCCCTGCAGCTCATTCCTATGACTGGTCCGTGCCACTCATTGCTATGACTGGCCCGTACTCCTCTGGATGGAGGCCGCCATGAGTACAGACCAGCCATAGGACTGAATGGGCAAGCAGCACCTATGACCATTAGGAACTGGGCACAGCTTTTCCTGCAAGGGCCGTGTTCTGCCAGTCACTGGAGGAGCACTAAAGGTAAGTATTCTGGTAAGTGGCCACCACTCAGCGGAGAGAAGGAGCAACTTCAAGTGAAGAGAAGTCCTTCAAAGAGATCCGTCATTACAATAAAGATCATCAGAGTCTATGAGCATTTCATGTATTTTAGTCATGTAACCTCCCTTATGTAGATGTCCAAAAGCCCCGAGACTGCTGCGGGGTGCCGCCATCTTGGATGTGATGCCAGCAGCCTTAACTGTCACTCGAGTGACAGTCTATAGTACTCCCCTTCACTTCTCTCCTGGAGGGAGGTGAAAGGAGGGACAGAGGAGCTAGGCTAGCACAGGCAGTAATTAGACACTCCCAGAATTGGAGAGGGCTATGATGTGTAAGGAGGGAGGGGGCTGGCAGGGGGAGGGGGCTGTGCTAGGAGTGGAAGGGGCCTGGGCTGAGAGAGGGTGGGCTGTGCTAGGAGAGGACTTGGCTGAGAGGGGGAGCGGGCTATGCTAGGAGTGGGAGGGGACTTGGCTCAGAGGGGGAGGGGGCAATCTGCTTAGTGGGTGACAGGTTCTCTTTAAAGAGGAACTGTACTATAAAAAAATGGCGGAGCCGACCACCAATCAGCAGGGTCGGATTTTCCAGTGGGCGCAGTAGGAGTGGGGCCTATAGGTGGAAAGGAGGCGGCTTTTATCCCGCTGTAGTGACACATCTGTATTACCATTGTCCATTCATCTCATGATTTACAATGTAACAATATTTGAATATAGATCAGGAAGTCAGCGTGGCTTGTGATTGGTCAGTCCTGATAGGTGACAATCAGCTATCGTAGTTCAGTAACACAGAGGGCAAGCCGCGCCCTAGGCAGCAGTGCGCCCTAGGCGGCTGCCTAGATTGCCTAGTGGAAGAACCGGCCCTGGCCATATTTATAAAGCAGTAAATGTGACTTTCACCAAACATTCACTGGTGGAGTCAATCGCTGCCATTGGAAGCACATACCCGAAGAAGATCCAACTGCAGTGAATGTTTGTTGAAAGCCAGACTCACTGCTTTATAAATATGCCCACAGAAAGGAGTAGCACCCTTTAGCTCCCGATGCTGTAAGGAATGGAGCGTCAGCGGGCATTATACGATGTCACTCACCGATGTGCCGGGGTCCAGGCACTCTGCGTTCACCAGCATGGGGGCGGCTCCAGCCTGTGAAGAACAGAGAAGAACGTTGAACACATTTGTATCCTTCAAATACATAACATGAGACAGCGACAGTCAGGGCTAGAAACAGACCTCCACGTTGTGCGTTGTGGTGTCGTTCATCCTCAATGGCAGCCCAAAGTACTAAGGCAACGCAGCTCATCACGTCACAGAACACCACAATGCACAGTAATGTGTGAATGAACTGCTGGAACACAGCGCACATTCACACACGAGGAATAACACAACACGCACAACGGGGAAGTGTGAGCGAGCCCTTAACGTGTCCTTGTTTGCATATAAAAAACATTCACAGTCAACATAAGACTTTCTGGCATCAAGATTTGGGAATGTTCAATAAATCATAAAATGAACCAGATGTGACCCCAATCACAAAAATCTGCCATATCCCCTTAACATGTGAATTTCATTTCCTGTTTACATAAATCACTTCCTGTTACAACTCTCTGTCATTTCTCAGACACTTCCTGTTACAAGTGGCCATTTCAGCACACATTACACAGACACGGCCCGCTGTTGTCACCATCAGGAAACCCGCCCCCGAGAAATGCCATGGCAGCCATCGCTGGAGCGCATGTAGACAGGAAGTGGCTGCAGGAGATCAGCAGCACTGAGATGGAACAAAAAGTAAAAAACTGTTTCAAAGGCAACGGAGGTCGGAATCCAAAAGCTTGCTTTTAAAAAACAGAACGAGCTGCAGCCATATTGGCCACCGGCGAGTGCCGTCAACTTGGACGTCATACACATGTATGGGTGCCGCCATCTTGGACGCAGCAACATGGTGGTGCCCATACGAAGCAAATTATATGCCAAATATATTTTTCGTATAGTCGGGCATATAATAACTCTATATTTCGCTTCGGACGAACCGCCGAAACAACAGAATTTTGGGATTCAGCAAGTTCGTACGAATGCACATCTCTAGCTGTCAGGTCACGGTTGTAGATGTCTCCTGTGATAGCTTCACAAACCTTGTTGTTGGCAAAAAGTACAATATATGTTTGTGCAGCCCTGATCATCACACCTGTATAGCCTGGTTGGACAACCCATTCCAAAACCATGGCCATTGATTTGGAGTTCCCTTCCCCCCCTCCACGGCCAATAAAATGGAGATGGTCCCCCATGGTGACTATACCACTCCACCTATATGACATCCAATTCCAAAACCATGGCCATTAATATGCAGTTAGACCCCCCTATTTCCCCCCATGATCAGTAATATGGAGTTTTATCATCCTCCACTCTTCTGGCAAGTCTTTCCACAAGATGTTGGAGGGTGTCTGTGGGAATTTGTTTCATTGGTGAGGTCAGGTACTAATGTTGGATGAGAAGAACTGGCTCACAATCAGCGTTCCAATTCATCTCAAAGGTGTTCAGTAGGGTTGAGGTCAGGGCTCTGTGGAGGACACTCGAGTTCCTCCACAAAAACTGGTCACACCATGTCTTTAGGAGCTGGCTTTGTACACAGGGGACAGTCAAGGTGTAACAGAAAAGGGTCTTCACCAAACTTTGACCACAAGGCTGGAAGAGCTCAATAGTCTACAATGTCTTTGTATGATGGAGGATTACCAGAACCTTCACTGGAGACACCTGAACTCCATCATTTAGAGGGGGGTCTAGAGCCTTTAGGTCATATAGTGTATATATTTTGGCTTCATATACTGTAGTTGATGGAGGTAAATTTAAGACTTGCCCACAGGAGCAAATTAGCAAGAGAAAAAATGCATTGTGTGCCCAACATCAAGGTTTAGCTGTCCACTTATCTTCATCTATAGAGCACCCAGGCTACATTCTGGTAAAGTGTGCAGTGACTACTGCTGGAGGAGATTTTTCCTTACTTCCTGTTTGGTTAAACCCATGCTCCATGGTGGAACAGAAAAGGGTCTTCGCCAAACTGTGACCACAAGCCTGAAAGAGCACAATTGTCTACAATGTCTTTGTATGATGAAGTATTACCAGAACCTTCACAGGAGACACCTGAACTCCATAATTTGGAGGGGGGGTCCATGTACTTCTGACCATACAGTGTATCCTTGTTGTTGGATGTATATTATGTTATACAGGGAGGGCAAAATGAACATTGTCAGCCATTTCTTTCTGAACTATTCCATAGCAGAATCAAGGTCCAGGAATGTCATCAAATACTCCATTCTGTGCATAAAATACAATGTTTCAGCCCTTACTCATTAAAAATTATTAATAAGCGGCACTGTAGCAAGACAATTGGTGTCAGACTTGAAAGTTATGCAGAGAAAGAAAGTGACAGCTTGTGAAATGATGAAGTGCAGAAATGTGAACACAAATATGTTCTGCCTTTCTAGAGAGCTCAGCAGTCATTAAAATTTTGACACATATGAAACATGTTGCAATCAAATTAGTTTACTATGCAAAGCAATTAAATAAGTCCGCCTGTGTATGAGTGAAAGAGCTGAACAGGATAACCGACCGAAAGGAAACATAACGGTGATATTATCTGAAGTGCAACATGGGAATTATGAATAGGTCTGGGCCTCCAGGGCAGTAGGACTCCGTGAAAAGGTCTGATAGATGCATTCACATCTAGATTGGTTTGGATGGCAATACCAGATACTTTATAGCACACAATATGGCCGAAAAGTTGTGGACCGCTGACCACCACACACCTCTATGACATCCATTTCTGAAACCATGGGCATTAATATGGAGTTCCCCTGAACAATGGTCATTAATATCCAGTTGTCCCCCTGTTGTGTCTCTACCATCCTCCACTCTTCTGGGAATGCTTTCCACAAGATTTTGGAGGGTGCCTGTGGAAATTTGTCCCATTTGTGAGGTCAGGTGCTGATGTTGGATGAGAAGACCTGGCTCACAATCAGGGTTCCAGTTCATCCCAAAGGACTTGAGGAGGTCAGGGCTCTGTGCAGGACACTTGAGTTCCTCCACACCAAACAGGTCATACCATGTCTTTATGGAGCTGGCTTTGTACACAGGGGACAGTCATGGTGGAACAGAAAAGGGTCTCCATCAAACTGTCACCACAAGGCTGGAAGTGCACAATTGTCTACAATGTCTTCATGGATCATGGACACCTGACCATCACACCTATATGAGCTTGTTGGACATCCCATTCCAAAACCATGGCTATTATTATAGAGTTGGCTTCCCTCTGTGGCTATACTATTCTCCATTCATAGTCTACAATGTCTTTGTATGATGGAGTATTACCAAAACCTTCACTGGTGACATCTGAACTCCATCAATGTGGGTGTGGTTGACATACGTTTGGCCATATAGTGTAATTTTTAAATTGTAATTGGCTGAAATTATTGCCCCAAGGCCAGGCAGATTCTATGCATGGATTTTTTTCTTACATTGGTTTATTTTATATTCTTTCACCGCACTACAAAACTGTAGAATTGTGGTTTGGTTCCAACAGTGGGGGTGGGGATGATGAAAAGTTTATGTCTTCATGTGGTGCTCTTAAGCGCATAAAAGGAAGAGTTTGCTGTCTATGGGATTTTGTGAAGGGAGACAGCTGACTCTTAGCAGGCTGGTCCTATGCCTGAGGGATCGTACTGACTGCCAGCTGGAATTCCCGAAGGGAGCATTACGGAAAGGGCACCTAGTAGCTATACAAGCCACTAATATTTTGAAGAAGTTTGGAAAACATATTGCTGGAGGCATCAGACCTAACAACTGGCAACAATTTTAAGAAGTTATATAAAGTATGTTCTGCCCATATCCAAATCCTCTGATACTCTTTTATTTCAGTGTCTGCCTTTGTATGATTCAGCACACGCAGGGCCGTCCCATTGATGGGGCAGACTGAGGTGGTTGCCTCATGTGGCATCTCATTGGGGGGCGTTTGGGTGGTGGTAAGTTGCAGCCACAGCGTCCCAGGTTGCTAAGAGCTCCTAGCAACCTGTCATGTCCTGTCTGCCATCCCGCCCAGTTCACTGACGTCACTGGTTGCCAGGAGCTGAGCCGGGCTTTCTGGCTTGTGTCCTGCCAAGCTCCTGGAAACCGGTGACGCCAGTGAGCTGGGCAGGATGCCGGACAGAGGAGCTGACAGCACGGTCCGATGTCCGAACCTCCCCCCAAATGACAACTCAGCACAACAACCGTACACTTGCCCCCCCCATTTCCCCGAGACCATTCCCTGTCAGCACTACCCCCCTCCTTCCGGAATGACAGCACATCACCTTAGGTGGCAAATACCTTAGGCACAGCCTGTGTATAAGTCACTTGATGACTTGGGATGAAGTAATGGTTAGAGTTCTCTCTTCATCCCCCCAGCCTGACGACTGGAAAACGAAAGAGAAGCAGAAGACTGATGAACTAGTCTCTCTGCTCACTCTGTTCTCTCCTCCTATCAGCATGTTCCTTGTCAGCATACATGCATGCTCACAAATCTGACTGGCTATCAGTCCTGCCCCTCCCTCTCTCAGATACCAATCAGATTCAGGTATTTACTCTGCTGGTATTAAAAACAAATAATGGTGTATTAATAAAAAGCTGCATTTTAAAATTGGTCAGGATAAAGGTTTGGGGGGCTGCCATCGCTGACTTGTTTTTGTAGGTCCCAATCTGTTTAGTGAGCCCCTAATCTGGATCAAGCAAGGAGCCAGAGAAGTACGGAGATGCCTATTCTGGGTTCCAGGTCAGCAGTAAGTAGGGGATCAAGAAAGAAGTCAGCAGTGACCGCTCTGCTATTCACATTCTAGGAGTTCCTTTTCATGAATATATTAATTATTATAAAACATCCTCTGCAGCCCTGATGAAGGGGTTTGTTTGGACCCCCAAAAGGTGTTGGCTTCTTGAATCCAATGAAATTGACTTTTACACATTTACACTACAAACATCTGTTCAGATTTCTTTTGGCACCCCATATACACCTAAAATTGTGACACCTCGGCCTCCACCCCTGACCATGTTGATTTTGTTTTGACGTCACCCTCATTCCCCTATCAAGGCAGGAGGCACACCAACTGCTCTCAAGGACTCCA